CTCAGATCTTCATTTTCAACTAATTTAGGAGAAGTACAAATACAAAACATTAAATTGGGTCTTACCTTCATTTACTCCATCAGCAGCGACTCGACCACCATCGTTGTCGGCGTTCGGACCGCCATTCTACCAAGAACAAGGTCAAGTGGAGCTCCTACTTACAAATACTTCGGTTCATTCAGGTTGATGGAAGTTAAAAACAAAAACCATGGTCAAATACTGTAGTTAGTTGTGCAACGGGAAACAAATAAATTCGTTCCAATAGACATCACATGATTTGCACGTGGTATTTGTAAAAGTTTTCTAAATAATTAAAATGCCACTGGATCACCTCCACATATCAATCCAACGGATCGACCTGAAAGACCTCGTTTCACCTCTTCTCTCTATTCACAACCCACAATCCCACACCAGTTTCAAATTCAAACTTATCCTCTCCTTGAAAAAAAATTCTCATATGTAATACTCCTTCTTCGTAATTCCATTTTGGCTCTTCAGCAGCATCGGCAATTAAAAGGTATTTGAGGGAGTTTATGTAATTTAATTTAATGTTTAGGGTTTATTGTAATTTTTATTAACTTCTTCTTCTTCAATTTTAACGTGTAGTCTGTCTGTCCGTTGAACTTTTAATAGGAACTATTTGTAATTTTATAAAATGTATGTTTATGGTTGCAAATCCTGATAATTATTTGATTTTCAATGTTGCTGCATCAGTCAAATACTATAGATTTATTGATCTAAAGCAATAATATTAGGGCTTGTTTGGAAACCCGTCATTTCATATGAAATGATGGAATTGGGCCAATTCCATTGTTTGGATGGTTGAGAAATTGAAATTGAAATTAGCCCAATTCCATTGTTTGGATGGTTGAGAAATTAAAATTGAAATTAGTTGAGAAATTGAAATTGAAATTAGCCTAATTCCAGTCCAATTCCATAATAAGGTGATAAGCAAAACTCACAATTCCAACCCTTACCCCCTTACATTTGAATTCCAGCCCACTTTTGATCCAACCCATTTTCAATCCAACCTTCGTTTCATTAGTGTCAGTTCTTTCGTTTCTCTCTCCTCTTTCTCTCTCTTTAATCTCCTTCAATTTAGGGTTATTTTTTCTCTCTCCTTCCTATCGTCGACATTAGAGTTGTCAAAAGCTGACCCGACCCGAACCCGAACCCGATTATTAACCGACCCGTCTAAACCCGGAAAAATGATGACCCGAACCCGTTATGACCCAACCTGAAACCAACCCTAGACCCGAGTATACCCGAGTATTTGAGACCCGAACCCGAACATGAACCGACCTGAAGATGACCCGACCCGAATATAACCCGTAAAATATTGACTTGAACCGAACCCGACCTGAACCGAAATTGACCCAAACCCGTTTTAACCCGTCAAAACCCGAATTTAACGAGACCTGTTACTAACCCGACCCGAATTCAACCTGACCCGAATTTAACCCGACTCGAATTTAACCCGACCCGAATTTAACCCGACCTATTACTAACCCGACCCGAACTTCAACCCGATCTGTCACTATCTCGACCCGAAATCAACCCGACTTGTTATTGACCCGACCCAAATTCAACCCGATTTGTTATCGACCTGACCTGAAATCAACTCGACTTGTTATTTTATATATCTTTATTATTGTAGATCAGATACTTAATAAAGATATATGTTATATATATTCTAAGCTACTCGACTCGATTTGTTATTGACTGACCTGAAATCAACTCGACTTGTTATTTTATACACCTTTATTATTGTAGATCAGATACTGAGTCGACATTATTCAAGGTATGTTATTTGATTTTTCATGATTTTCCATTTGATTTTGCATGTTTTGGCATTTTTCGATTGAATTTTCAGCATTAAAAACGAAATCGATCATATTTAAATGATGATTATATTCATTTCGCATTATTTATTCGAATGATATTTGTGTTTGTTTGGTGCAAATAAATTCAATTGTGTTAGTTATTTATGTTTGATTTCTTGTGTTTGCGTTGGTGATTTAATTTGTTAGATTTAATTTATTTTCAACATTTGTTTTGGAAGAATTATTGAATGATGGAATAAGATGTTTCTGATTGTGATATTTTGGAAGTGATTTGAAAAATTAATTTCTTCAAGCTTTATGCTTTGATCGTTATACTGAACTGCATAGCAAGTATATTCTTTACTTCATTTTATCTATCTAATTGCATAACATTATTCCTTACTAATTCCATATACTTCATGTTTAATTTGTTCTTTGCTTAAATTTGGTTGAATGTAATTACAAGGTTCTCCGAACAATGATATAAGAATTCAATTTTTTGATTTCCAAACGAGTTTGAGGAAATGGAATTGGATTTCAAATCATGATTTCAATTACAAAATTTTAAATGAAATCCGTGTTCCCAAACGCTACCTTAATTCATTTATGGCTAAATTGATTTTAGTTACTTTGATTATTTTTTTCTCCTTTCTGGATTCACCATAATTAATTATTGAATAGAACAATTAAGGTGTGTGATGTGTTGTCTCAGATTTATTTGGCTCTGTTCATAATTTTGAATTTTCGTGCATAGAAACCCTAATATATATATATATATATATATATATATATATATATATATATATATATATATATATATATATATATATTTCTCGATCTATCTTCTGCCCCTTCTGGTTATTAACTACTCCCTCCGTTAATTTTTATTTGCAACTTTTGCCATTTTAGTCCGCTAAAAATTATTTGCAACTTTCTAATTTATTTCCATTTTTGGTAAACAAAAACCCTAAAAATTACTATTTCACCCTTACTTAAATTTTGTGATTTTTTTAATTCTACCCCTTATTAACCCTAATCCCACATTACATACAAAACATCTACAATTAACCTAATCTAATTTCTCCCTCCATTTATTTCCCCCAATCCAATCCCAACAGCCACATTCCCAACCACCAACATTTAATTGAAAAAACATTGGGATTATTTCTGGCTTCTCGAGTCTTCTTAAGAACCCTAGATCTGGTTCTTCGACTTTCACTCTCCTTCGCCTCTGTAATTTTCTCCATTGTTCCTCCTAAAATCTGAGTTTTCGTCCTCTCAACTTCCAATAAAAAGAGTCCCCCACCACCATGGTTAACCTATCTCCACTTCGCAACGCTTATATCGCCACCGATGACGAGGGTGGGGCAAACCTGATAAAAACCCTGATGACAGGTATCGCCGAAGGATCTCCTTTTACTCGTGAGTTATACGCGTTTGAGGAGGCCCTGAATTACTGTTCTCCGACCACATACAAGGCCTTGGGCCAAGTTCTTGAAAGCGTAGACGAGGATGAGCGTAAAAATACCGGTGAGGGTCAAGGAGATTCACGGGGGAAACAAGCGCTAGACTGCACTGGTGTTTCTGTAGATCCAGTGTGCGACAGTGCTGAGGGGAGTGTTATGCCCAAAACTAAGCCCAGATCCAACAATCCAAGGCCACCACGCAAGTTTCGGCCTAAAAGGAAGGCGGCCCGGGTGGCTTTGAGTCGTATTCGGGGGTTGCTTGACAAGGAATTCATTATCCTGACTTCTGATGACGAGGCTGACCAAGGTGACGACGGTGAAGTGGTTGGCCCTCTTCTGAGGAAGCACTCTGCGAGGCGGATGAACCTTAGGGTTCAACCCTCCAAGTGACCCTAGCGTAACGCTTTCTAACCCTTCCTGTGTTAATTTTTTTTTAAAAAAAAAGTCCCTATTTTTTGATTTTTTCGATATACTGTTGATTAGCTTTGTTAATTGGTTGGTGTTGTGGGATTCTGTGACTAGATTTGGATGCATGTTGGCTTAGTTGGTTTTATATGCGTAGATCTGGATTGATGTTGGATGGTTGCCTGTTTTTGATTGCCTGCTCTTTTGTCATGTTTGTTGTTCCGGAATTTGTTGGCTAGATAGCTTGTTTGTTATTAGCTGGTCAGTTGGATGCTTGGCTATGTCTGTTGTTCTGGACAATGTTGCATGTATGCATGTGTTGGAGTATATTTTACCAGCTGTTGGATTGTTGGAAAATGGCATATGGGTGTTTGATTGATGAATGATGAGGCTAATGTGTCTGTACATTTTTTAAAGGTGCCTTGGTCATACCTTGAAGTGTTCTCAATGATCAATTAAGTATAGAACACATGACAGTCCCTTATGTGGTAGCATGACTTATATTCAGTCCCCTAAGTGTTGTGTTGTGTACTCTGTCAAAATCCAAATGAGGAAGGGACTCTATTGACCTTCCCAACCCACAAGTGTTTTGCTCCAATGATGTGCTTTATGCTGTTATTGTTGAGGTAACCTTGTGGTTGGTGGTTTATTGAAACATGGAAACAAAAAAAAAAATTCTAATGGATAGAGTGCCCACTTAACATCAGACTCTTAACCATTTCTATTCCATTGAACATGTGGTTACAAAAGTACTTGACATTGGACTGCCTAACATGATTCATCACTGTAATCAACAAAATACACCTAACCACCTAATACCAGAATAAAAAACAGAACATAAAACAAAATTACCATACCAACTGTAAGTGGTTATGTGTTGCAGTCCATGTGTCTCTACTTTGATGTGATGAGTCCCTCAGTCTGCATCTACCTCAAATTCTTCTGTTCCTTGTTCAGTCCCCTCATTTACTAGCCTAAACATAGTGTCTAGGCACTCCACTGCCTCCAAAACAAGTTCCTTCTGCACTGGTACATTATTTGGCAACTCTCCAAGGTTTTCGAGTTTTTTCTTGTTCATGTGGGGTAATTTGTACTTATTCCCACCTTGTACCTTAAGGATCTCAATCATGCACTTTTGCAAAGACAGCCAAATGTACTTGTTGACTTGAGGATTGAATGCCTCATAAGATTCTTGCACTTTTGTAACTAACTCATCTAGGTTGCTAGGAAAAGACTGATATTACAATGATTGAATTGACCTAAACAACCCTAAGTCAAGCACATTCAAATCTGGTGATTGTGGTGGTTAGAAAACAAATTGAATGTTAAATCCATGACCTGTTGTTGCTGCCATAAACTCTGCATCAGTAGGAACTTGGTGTGGCCTTGCATTGTCCCATTGGATTATAATATTTTTTGGCTGACTGTCAGGCCACTTTGAAATAATTGCTGGATTGACATTGGCCACCAACATGTCTCTGATGACCTCTCTGTTTACATTCTGTATTGCTTTTGCTTCCCATGTTCCTGCTACTCTGTTTTTATTTGACTTCTTGGCTAGTTGTTTGACTGTGAAAGGGAATATTCCATATTTCCCATCATGAAGTAGTCCCCCATCTGTGTCATACAATGGCTTCCCAATTAAGCCCATAAACATTGCTTTAAGCTTGAATCTTGTGGATTGTATAGGCCTATAAGGATCTTCCTCACTAGGTAGGAGGTAAAACCTCCTCTTATCAGGGTTCAGATAGAACCATTTCTCATCCATGTGTATCACATTCTTGATTTCAACAAATGTTGGGTCCCCATTACTTGTAACTGGATTTATGTGTGACAAAATCCATTTCATTCTTGCTACCTTGTGGTCTGATGTCAGGGCTGGCTTTTTGGTACTTGTGTGTGTTCTTAACCTTCCCTTTTTCTTCAAATTGTGAAGTGTCACATGGGAGATCTTTAATGCTGCTGCATAGCTCCTTTCTGTCTGCCTTAAATGTAAAGGCATTGATTGAATGAAGTCATCAGAAAATTCATTTGGCTTTCTGCCTACTCTGCCATATTTTTTGCTCCTAACATTAATCAAACTGCCCTGCGCCATTTGTTTCTTTATGTCTGCAAAAATTCTTGTGATGCTTGATTTGTGCACATTGTAATTAACTGCCAAATGCTTTAAGTGACCTCTTGGTAAGTTGCCTTGATGCATGTTGACCAACATTGAATCCACTATTTCTCTTCTTTGTTTCATGGTGAGCTACTTTCTCTGTCTCTGTTGAGTCCCCTGGTGAATGGCTTGTTCCATTTCCTGGAAACCACCCTCAGCTTGTGTGTGTTTAGTGTTTTGCTGGCCTTGGTCTTCTCCTTCTGTGTCTTGCATCATATCATCTTTAGAGTCGTAGTAATCCATGCCCATATCTTGCAAATTTTTTGCGTATTCGTAGTACAATTCTGCCTCTTGTTCTTCTGTCAAAATTTGATCCACATCGAAGTACGTCGCTTCAAATGAGTCTGCCATGATTGTCTGACCTTGTTTGTTTTCTTAGCTTCAGCTGATTGATGTCACGGTGGCTGCTGTGTTTTTGAGAACAAGATGAAGGAAGAAGGAGCTGCAGCTGCCTATGAAGGTGTTTGGGTCTTAGTCGGGTAGTATTAACTTAATTGTAGGAATTTTTTTGGTATATAATGGGCTAACTTAATTGTATTAACTTAATTATCTTTTGGAGGAACAATGTTTATGTTTTGGGTGAACAAGAAACCATTAAATGATGTTTGAATGGAGAGGTTGTATTTAATTGCCTCTGTAATATGAAATGCAGTGCTTATATAGGTCTGCAGATTTCAAACAGTACACTGTTTTGTACTGTAGTTTAAAATTTAAGCAAATTTTTGGTGGGAAATGAAATTTCTCCAAATTTCAGCCCACAACAAAATTTCAACGAAATTTTGAGGGGGAAATACAATCCCTCCAAAAGTTGTACAGGTTTTCCCACTACTTTTCTTAGTGGTGGGCCAAACCTTTCTCTCTCCAAACACTTAAATCACATTCAATTAACCCCACTAATATTTTCCCCTTAACTTTTGCCTCGTGAACCGCGATTCCCCCTAAAATTGCAAATAAAAACTAACGGAGGGAGTATATATTTGTTTGTTTGAAGGAAGGAAATTGTAATTGTAATCAAGGTGATGGACATCACAATTGAGGTAACTGTTTTCTTTACCAATTTTTATTATCTTTTCTGTCTTTGTCCAAAACTTCTACGATGCACATGCACTTTAGTCGACTTGCCAGTTTTCGTTTTATTGATTTGATTTGATTAGTTAATTATTTACTCCTTGTAATTTACTTAGTTGAAATAATAATAATTATAATAGTAATAGTAATAGTAGTAGTAGTAGTAGTAATAATAATAATAATAGTAATAGTAGAAGTAGTAGTAGTAATTGTTGGGTTTCGTAATGACCCGACACTACGCGGAAGGAAACCCACCAAGATTCGCCCCTTAATTAAAGCAATTAACAAGCATAAATAATTAAACAAACAAGATTAAGCACGAGAATTATACCTTTGTCGCGTGCTTCGCTCCCAAAGAGCTCTTACTTCAAAATCCCGAAAACACGAGATCTCCGACGGATCGTACCCTAGACCCGACCCGACTGTCCTAAGTCTCGAAGGTTAGTCGAGACCCGGACAAAATAACTATGAGTTTTACGAATCAAAGGTTTACTCTTTCTTAGAGTTGCCTTTTTAATTCCACTCAAGGTTGTTTTAATTCCCAATACCAAGCTTGGTATTTATAGGGAAGTGATCCCTTGATTTTCATTCTCCAACCAATGTGGGAGAATGTTTTATTTGCCAATTAATTTATTTCTAAAATAAATCAATAAATAAATCAATAAATAAATGCAATCACAATCCGACAAGTGTCAAAGGGAGAGAGAGTATTAGGTGAGGACCATGGAGAGGTGGGGGGACAAATGCCTTGCTCCCCAAGGCTTTGCCCAAGCCTTGGTCCCCACCCCTCACCAAAACTGGCCTAGGAGAGTTGCTGGGCTGGCAGCCAGCTAGGCACGCCAGCTAGCACTGCCAGCTAGCACTGTCAGCTAGCACTGCCAGCTGGCCCAGCCAGCCAGCACAAGACAGCAAGCATCAGCCCAGCTAGCCATGCGCACTGCATGCTGCTATGCTGGGTGATGCACATGTTGTGGCTTGCTAGGCGTTGGGCGCTGGGCGCTGCTGGCTGCCTAGCACTCCCTATCGCACGCACATGCATACATACCCAGCATGCGTGCTGCTAGCGAGCCACGCATTCTGGCTCCCCTTTGCCTCGCACACCACGCACACACCTTCGCAGCATCTCTCGCACATGCACTAGCTACGCACCATGCGCACTAGCTACACACCATGCGCACTAGCATGCATTGGCCTCGCACCACACGCACACCCACACATCACACAGCAGTCTTGGTGCGTGGTGATGCTTGGCTGTTGTGCGTGGCCTGGCACTACGCTGGCGCCCAGGCCCTCGCATGTGGTGCGATGCTTGGTGCTGCCACGCGAAGGCTAGCACACAAGCCAGCACGCACATGGTGCACCAATGCCATGCAGGCATCCATGCTAGCACTTGGTGCCTGCGATGGTGCTGCCATGCCAGGCACGCACGCACGCAGCACCCAGTGCTTGCCATGGTGCACCTGGTGCCTGCAATGGTGCTGCCATGCCAGGCACGCACGCACGCAGCACCAGGGCCTGCGATGGTGCGCCTGGTGCGCCTATTGCTTGTGATAGGTGCCCTGCGCATCCAGGCACCCACGCTAGCATGCTGCTAGCTTGCGATGGGCTGTCAGGTGCTTTTGGGGCTTGCGATAGCTTCCATGCGCACCTAGGCACCCAGGCTAGCATGCTGCTAGCTTGCGATGGGCTGCCAGGGCACGCCTAGGCTGCGATAGGGCCTAGCACACCATGGTGCGCCTAGCACACACATGGTGCGCCTAGGGTTACGATGAGCTAGCCTAGCCTAGCTACGAATACGCTCATACTTGTTGATTGTGATTTTGCGACGCTCGATCTCGACGCCCTAGGCTCGATTTCCGACGTCTATATTCGTAAAACTCTGCTGACTCATTAAATCTTTTCGGATTAATTCGTCATCTCGGATCGGTGATTCGATTGGGTTCGACCCGAAGGGTTCAGTTAAGATTAAGCTGTAACATCAATTCTACCTTGATATTACTGATCGGAAGCGGCCTCCACCTAGGCATTCCGATCACTTGATCTTACTGAAGAATTAGCTCTGTAATAATTTTGAACCCTCTATCGGAAGAATACACTTGCTGGAAGGACACCATTCCTTTCAATCTCCCACTTGTCCTTCCGGACAAGTGTGCATACAATGTATAGCCCATTTCCTATGTCACTTAATGTTTCTTCGTGAACTATAAGGTAAGATTCTTTGTCATCCTTATTACGTTCAGAAGTGTTTCTCGATCTCCGAGTTCGACTGTCAATAAGCAGATGATTTCTAAAATCCATCTGAGCACGACCATGCATTTTCACAGTCTCGCTCTTCGAGCGGCCTTGTAAACAGCAAAACATTTTCCCTATTGTTAATAGGGGGACAATCCCAGTCTTGCGTTGTAAGTTCCTCTTACTAAGAGGACATAGACTCCCGAGTGTTTCCGTTATGATCCCCAGTTACGGCAGACGTTAGAAAACATCAAAGAGTCTAGTGCTCAAACAAGAGAACTTCACAATACTCATGGTCGGAGAAAACAGGTTCCGATACCCATAATGAAAAATGTACTTATGACAATATTTTTGAAATTTCTTAAAGTACTCTCATAGGTCTTATCCAGTACAGTTCCAAACTGTACCTGTGCAAATGATTTATGACTGTCACGTCCTCGCAGCACAAGAAACGGTGCTGTAAATTATACTACACACTAATCTATGGCGGGTCATCAATCGTCCATCCGTTAGATGACTTTGATAAGGGACAATTTTCGATTTAAATATTCAACGTTCACTTAACAGGTGTTTCTTTATCCAAGACATGGTCTTGATACCCTGTTTTGAATATTTCCGTAAATCGAATGGACTCATTATTTAATTCTAAACCACAATTAAATAGTAATGGAGTGAATGATAATTTTGCACAAAATTAATTACTCCATTAATGAATGGTTTCAATAGTGTCTTACATTAAAACAACTAGTTTAATTAAAACATATGTACAGGGAATTTCAAAGCCAGTTTCCAACATGCTTGATTCCCATTGCCTCAATGTGCTTGTTGTGTTTCACTTGAGGCAGAGATTTAGTCAACGGATCGGCCACATTATCATCCGTGCCGATCTTGCAAATTCTGATTTCACCTTCGGATTTCCATTCCCTTATCATGTGAAATCGCCTTTGGACATGTTTGACCTTCTGGTGCTCTCTTGGCTCTCTGGCCTGAGCGATAGCTTCATTGTTGTCACAATAGAGGTCTATCGGACCCTTAATGGAGGGTACAACACCAAGTTCACTGATGAAATTCCGAATCCAAACAACCTCCTTAGCAGCTTCTGAAGCAGCCAAGTATTCGGCTTCAGTTGTAGAGTCTGCAGTTGTGCTCTGCTTGGCACTCTTCCAGCTGAACGCTCCTCCATTCAGACAGAATACATATCCTGACTGTGACTTCGAGTCATCTCTGTCAGTCTGGAAGCTAGCGTCGGTGTAACCTTCAACAACCAGATCTTTTCGCCCACCATATACCAGGAATTTATCCTTGTTCCTTTTCAGGTACTTTAGGATATTCTTGGCCGCAGTCCAATGCGCCTCTCCTGGGTTCGATTGATATCGGCTCGTAGCACTCAATGCATACGATACATCTGGCCTTGTACATATCATGGCATACATGATCGATCCAATCATCGAAGCATATGGGATCTGATTCATTCTCTCTCGCTCAACAGGTGTCTGTGGACAATGTTTCTTGCTGAGAGTTATGCCATGGGACATGGGTAGATGCCCTCTCTTGGCATTCTCCATGTTGAATCGTGCCAGTACTTTATCAATGTAAGTACTCTGGCTCAATCTAATCGTCTTCTTAGATCTATCTCT